ACGGACATTTTAGTATATCCATATTCAGGAAGAAAACCCACTCCAATAAATATTTAGACTTCAAATCATCACACCCCATCAGCGCAAAGATTTCAGTTGTTTCAAGTCTTCTTAGACGAGCACACTCTCTGATAACGGATGAGCAAGAAAAAGAAGAAGAAATATCAAACATTACTGAAACTCTCAAGCAAAACAACTACCCAAGGAACTTCATCAACAAAATCAACACAGACATTAAGTATGGCCGAAAATGCATTCCGAAAACATGGACTTCAACAGTCGTCATTCCATATAGAGCAGAGACGTCAGACGATATCAGAAGAGTACTCAATCAGCTCGACATTAGAGTTTTCTTCAAAACATCGGACACACTTCAAAACAACCTTGTCCATATAAAAGACCAAATCCCGAAAGATTCTCTATCTAATTGTGTCTATAAAATAAAATGCTCGGAATGTGATGAGCTATACATCGGACAAACATCTCGAGAAATCAAAATCAGAAGAAATGAACACCGTAGAGCATCTCTTCGACCACCAAGAAATCCAATTGAACTAGAAAAACTTCAAAAATCATCAGCCATAGGTCTACATGCTATAGAATCAGGCCACAAAATTGATTTTGACAATATTGAAATAATCCAGAAAAACTTCAGAAACCACAAAGAACGTCTAATATCAGAAGCACTTCATATCAAGTGGAATCCAAATTGCCTGAATAGGAATGATGGACTAAAACAGAATCTGACCTGGCTACAACACCCCCCTACCCCATGAAGTAGCAAAATCAACACAAATGTGATAAGCAAGTTCACTATGTAAACACACACTACTTTCATAATTCTACACACTGATCAAATCCAACAATCTACACTTGATTTTGTTATCTTTACCAATTCTCCAACTTGACAACCAAAAATGACCCCAGACTAACGAACGATGATGAAGTTAGTAAACTTTGTTTTGATATAATTACAGATATACTATTACCTTTGATATTTGGTTTGAACGATCTTCATTGTTATTTTGACTTTCAATATGTCCTTTTAAGTTGAACTAAGTCTATTTTTCTCACCCCCTAACTCTTTGTTATATATATGCTGAGATTTTGTAAATTCCGGTTTAATGATACTTTGAGAAAGCTATTAGCATTAAATAGCGAAACGTCAGTAAAAACAATATCGTTTTGTTTTTCATTCATTGGGAAATACAAAAAAACCTTTATTATAATGAATATCATATACCCAATGCCCAAATTTTTTCAAGCCGTTTAAAGTGAAGTTGGTTCGGTCATATAGAATATTATTGTTTTTCATCTGGTAAACTCAAAGTTCGATAAGCTGTTGTTTTTCTTTCTTGGTGACACGTCATAGTACAACCCAGACAAAGATTTGGGACACGTCAACTGGACGAACCTGTATTCCACTGTTGCACCCAAAAAGTGAAATTCTTGATCTTAGAGACCTGGTAGATGATAATGCATTTTGTGTTTGAAACGAAGTGTGCTGGGTTTGAGTCTTAATGGGGACGTCATTACTCTTGACTGGGATAGCAGTGGATCCAGCTGAGGAGCCTCGGGTGGAACGGAACGCATGTCCTGGTGTCTATCGTTGGCATCAACCAATCAAATAACATTGTCGGTTAAAGCACTGTTGTAAACCAAGGAGTATTGGTCAGTCCTGATTTGGGACCGCTTATCAGTTCGCATCCACGCCTTCACCAATGATAACATTCACGACCTTCCAGTTTGAAGACAGGCTTCTAGACCATTCTGACTCTTGGATTCTATCCTGCAGTCAGATTACTAGTTCCTACTCCTACTGTGCAGCGCAACCACGCGCGAATATCTCTGGTATTTCGGTGATTTTGTAGGTTGTATCAACGCTTGTCAAACCCTGTAACTCATATATTTATTTACAAAAATATATATCACGTCATTCGACTGTTGAATGTTTTTGGAAGTATATTTCTGTTTCATTGTATTTTGAGACCCTTTAGAAGTTTGCACCGGCCTGCATGTTTCGAACCCACCATCTTCCAGATCAACGGCCAGTTGAATCGGGTCCTAGCGGCTGAATGGTAATACGAGCTCGCCTTGTAACCAGAAGGTCCTGGGTTTGAGATCTGGCGACGTGGGTGCGTACTGTTGAAGAGTCCAAAACTAGGACGAAATAGCTGTCTGCCCAGTGTTTCTAATTTTCTCCTCACAGTTCTCTTCTTCGATTGCTTTTACCAGTGTCTCAAAACATATTGTTACATTTCTGAATTCATTTGCTGATATACCACTTATATCTGATTATAAATATCACTCACACATTGATATTATTTAATTATAAATATTGGTAAATTCTTGGTATTGTAATAATGGCTAGTCCATGTTAGTAAAGGAACCCATCGCTCGACAGATATCCGGAAAAAAATGGAGGTAGATGGATCACAACCTGAAGAGACTGTCAAACGTCCTCATTCGGCAGGCTATCATGACTCAAGTGGAACCGAAATGAGTTACGACGAGTGGGGCGTCATCTCGAGGGTGACATGGAGGAAATCGTGTGAGTTGGAGGAGGAAGTGAGAGATTATTGTAAATCGTGGTGCTAGCCAACTGAAGAAGGCAGCAGAGAATACAAGAAAGTGGAGATGTGTTGAATCCAGATGTTCCAATCGGATCCCAAGAGAACAAGTACAATCAAGTACATGTTGGTATATGTTAGAATTGAGTCGTAGACGAGGATCTAACTGAAAACTAAGTGTTTATTTTGTCCATCGATTTTATCTTCGAAACGATTTTGGAGGGTTTGTTCACATAGATTTCATCCATCAGAAGTTAGATTACGCACTCACGTCAATTAGAGTGGAACCGTTGAAAACCACCACAGATTACTCAAAAGCCGTTCTATTCTAGTTTAGAGTTCTTCAAAAATTCAGCACGTATGACCCCACTGGTGGGACCCCAACCCAAAACCTTCAGATTACCAGGCGAAGCCGTTTATTATTCAGCTTGTTGGACGAAATCCAATGTTTGCTGGGATCTTTCCTCATTGTTTCCACAACTTAATAACATTGATACTTAGTTACAAGAATGAATAATAATGACATACGTTGTGTTTGTGTATGTGTGATGAGACGGCATTGGTGGATGAAGCATTTTTCGGTTGCATGTATGTGTAGCTGTAACAGTCCACACTATACATAACGCAGAACAGATATTAAATAGCAAGAGTTACAGGAAAAGAATTCATTTTTGAAAATAAAAATGGAAGACAGTATCGAAACACAATGATGACTTTTTATTATTACGTGTAACTGAAATGTTTTCAGCAGGTGTTACCATATGGTGCATAAATCCCGCTGCATAACCTAGTTTTACTGAACACCTTAACGGTGATTTATTTGAAATCATGCCTCACTATGGCATATTTCAGTGGCTATGGTTACATACCTCTGAACATGCCTATCTGGTGACCACCAACCAATAAAGAGTATGAAAGACTCAGGACAGAAAAATGAAATTACCGTCCAGCCTTACTAAGTTTTTAATAACTCCTTGCCTGTTTACGTGATACGCCTTGAAATGAAGCGTAATGCTCACAAATATGAATAAATCCAACAAATACATAAATCAATACAAGCTAACATTTGAAAATTAATCTGATGCTCATTGGTGAACGACCGCAGGACGAAGTTTTCTCGAGTTTTGGTGAGAAGTCAGGACCAGTGGGGTCTATCCGGTGGGCAGGGGGTTAGGAAAAACACTCGGCAATAACATTGACTGGTAGTATCACCGTTTACTGTGAAGTAACGGGGTGGGGGTTGGAATTCACGAGCCAATGTATGTTATCCCGCCTACTGCTGGAAAGTCGAAAACTTGCCAGACGAAACAGCCGTTGAGCACTTCTTGCCTTTCTTTAATTCTCTGACTACTATCAATCCGTGATCAAAATTCAAGTCAATAAAATCCCTGCAAATCGAAACTTGAAGATACATAATCGTTTATTTTGTTAATAGTACATGTCAGTGAAATTCAAAATGCGTGTTTCATCTTGTTTGAAGCCAATCAGCTGAGGTTTCATCTGCATTCATCATTAAGTGACAATGTTTGCACAGAGATGTGAACCCAGCACTCTTCAACTTCAAAGACAAATTTCCATCTACTAAGCTACACAGGACAGCTGTTGTTAAATCGGTGTCAATTATAGTCTGCTGAAATTTTTATTTCCATCGAAACACCCTCCACTCTGCTAGGAAACTGCATTTCCAAAGAGACTATACATCTTCACGTGAAAGTCATACATAATTGATTTGATGACAAGTTTGGTCATGCGTTGAAGTGAGTTGGCTTCAAAACCAGTGAAACTCAGGGAACACTGATATCTGTGTTATTGGTATTATTAGGAAATGTCTAGAGGTATTCCATTCAACGTCATTGTGGAGGTTTCTTCTAGGATAGTTTGATCAAAAAAGCACCAAGTTGGCATTTAGTAAAATGGTCACTTAGAATGTGTTATTATGATTATGATTACTTTCGGTTGCCACAGGAACACAGAGGTTCAGTTGTATATCTCCGTTCCACCCTCTTCTCTGACGTCTCTTTTATCTAGTTCCACAAGCAAAACCTCTGTGTCACGCTCGGATGTCCTCCGAAACTGTTGTTTCATATTCGGGTTCCAGTTTGAGCTAGGGAAAATAACGCCACTCAATGCTCCACCCATTTTCAAACAACCTAGGGAATAAGGCTTTGGAGCTTGAAATAATTGGTGGTAGGTTTGTGTCTCCATGGGAACACTATCACTAATTCTGCTGGACTGTAGATACGTCCAGATGGAGAGTCTCGAAAGGAATGAAGGGCGTGCGCCCCCTGGATCCCACTGCTATTCATCGTGTCATCGAAACTTTCATACAAGCAGCTGTGGCTTCAGCTGAAATTGCAAATTCTAACCCGGGATATTCAAAATAATGACTTCAAACAATTCACACACAGAAAGACAAAATTGATAACTTACAATTAAGAAATAAAACCAATGGTTTTGTAAGATCAGGATTAACTTCACACGGTGTTTGTAACCCGTTGATATCAAGCATTTGTAATGATTCTTTGGGATTATTTGAATTTAACGTCTGATTCATTGTATCAACGATCTGTGAAGTATCATTTATAATATTGATAACTTCCACCCCCGGAGGAATTTACACCACTTTTCTAGAAAAGAAGACGAAAATAAAACAATAAGCCAATAATCAACTACAACAACAGCGAAAGGATACTTAGTGCAATCAATAAGTGTTTCCAGGTTAGATTTCATAAAGAATGTGTTATGATCGAAACTATGACCTAGTGGACAGGCTATGAGCGAATACTAACTTAATGTGCTGTCTAATCTGTCGTAATCGCACAAAACAGAAGAGAAGCATGAGCGTTAATAAGAGAGCTTATACTGTCTAAAAACAACAGCCAATTAAGGTTGACAGCGCTTGCGTATATACATATATGTTTAAAATGACCTTGAGAAGCATCAGTGTCATTGATAAATTAAGACAGAGAACAACCAATAGGATTTCAAAGGTCATAAGTAGCTTGAGAGAAAATTTGATCATAAATCAATAAGTGAGGTGAGAGAAATACAAAGAGAAAAGTTAAATTGACATGTAGAAGATTAGGTCTATATATCAGAACTGCAATCAGTTAGAGAATCATTGAAACGTCCTGTTCAGGGACTTTCGAAACGTATGCAACCATGAAGTAAATTGGTGGACAGCGACTAGCAGTGGAATCCAGGATGTTCACTCTTTCCTGAGGCTGAGCATATCGGTCCACCTAATCAACGGGGGAGTCCAAATTGAATTATATAATTGCTAATACAGCCGTAATTTGTCTTAGAGAATTGTATTGGTTACATTATCATGGTAAGTAATAAAGACAACCAGCGGAAACGATGCATCTTTTCCCATGGGCATTCCCAAATAACGAATTTGGGGAGTTTCGGGGCAATTTTAGGGTTTTTCGTGGAATTTTTAGGGTGTATTGGAGAAAAATGCCGATTCTCTCAGAAATTCCCTTAGCTACTCCATTACATCTTCCGAAAATTACCTCCATTTATATAAGGGTCTAATTAGACCCATTTAAATGTTAGACTTGAATACATGTCAGAAAGTGTGCTAATTTCTTCACCATTGTAATATTCGCTGAAAGAAGACTTGAGGGTCTCATGAAAACAACTACTTGATCCTACTTCACAGAAAAGTCCATGTGAATATTGCCGTAAAACCGAGGTTAACCTCTCGTGGGATAGAACTTATCTCGAGATCTGTTGGAAATTTTTGAGGACATTTCAGAGTCTTAAGGGTAAAGCCGAAATTCCAATGCGTTTTACCACAATAACTGCAGTTATTTACTTTGAAATTCATTCAAAAGCTTTTATTTGGGTAGTTATTAGTGTGGGCAAGAAATGGACGATTAAGTATGTTTGTGATTGCAGAAACCTGCAGTCCAAACCCTCTCCTATTCGGTGTATAAATATTTATTGACCCTTCAGTTGGCAGATGCATAGTCCTAATACTCGTAAGTGGGAGATGTTGCTAGAAAATCGGTGGCACAGCGGTTAGAACTCTCGGCGACCATGCAAATGGTTCGGGATTCGATCCCCTACTGACGCACACCTGATATCAATTAGTCGGCCTGCAAAATTTGGACTACCGATATCACATGCTGAAAATTTCACACTAGTACCAAAATTACGTTGTGGAATCAAGTTATAATTTAAAAAAATACACAAGAAGGAGGTGGCATCCGTGGCCCAGGTTTTCTAATGCGTAACACACTGGCGTTTGAAACGAAGGGTGCTGGGTTCGAGCCTCACTGGGAACACTATCACCAATTCACTGGTAGGTAGGCAGGTACATTCCGCCACTAATGAGTCCCAAGTAGGACTAAATGCTTCTCCTGAATTCCACGGCTAGTCACCAACCACGCATTTAGTTCAAGTTAAATTCTCAAACATCCTCAAAGCATCTACAAAAGAAACCGAAATGTTGACCTAAGGTCGTGCACTTCGATCGAATCAATCAGCGGGAAAATGCAAACTGTAATTAAAGTATTCAAACATGACTCCTACCAGGGTTCCATTCCCCGACATCTACCTTTCGACCTGAGCCAGTTACTGGGAAGGAATCTGATGGCAAAGCTGAGATTCTAATTTGTAATTAATCAAATTTTCGCAAATCAATTGTTGAAAATAATGAATATATGTAGACAGCAAAAAATATGTAGTGTAGTAGTTGACTGGAGTCATTTAGTAGGCAGGAAGCCTCACCTGAACTAGGTTTCGTACTACCTGGCACTCACTAGTCAGCAAGCCGTGCATAGGCAAGCTTGAAGGAACTCATTTTCCTTCTGAGGAGATTCGAACCCGCATCATCCAGTAAGTACTTCAGTCAGAGACGTTACCACTGAGGTATACGGGCTCTCGATTAACCTACTGTAGGACTGTGCTAGGGACTTGGATCTGACTCTTACTACTATCAAAGGATAAGACACATAACAACAGTTAGTGTTCAATCAGAGTTATTCTTTAAATAGTTAGAAGTAACGTTCTCTTCTATTGGGACATTCTACTTATCCCTTATTTGAACCAGACGTTTGTATCTCTACTATGTACCCCCTTTTTAGCGATACATTTTCCCACGCCACCAGTCTAAAAATTAAATACACGTGCTCTTTCAAACACTGTGTTCTCATTCCCTAATTGGCTACTTTCTACACTTTTTACTTATTGATCCCCCTCTTCGAGAAAGAACTTGAAGGTAATACCCATCTTCAACTTCCTGACCAGAAAATTGACACTGGAGAAAAATCATCAAATCCTGCGTCAGGCGACTCTGTAGATTATATGATTGAAATGTGAGTCAAGTGGTTTAATGCTTCATCAATTCTTCAAGTGTACTACTGCGGTGGTGTAATACAGACAGTTTGTTCGAATGGAATATTATTCTCACATATTTCCACAGTTCAATACTTCATTAGCAACAGAATACGATATATTAGATGGTTGGAGGAAATGGGCAGGAAGCCTTGGACCTAGGTTTCGTGCCAGTTGGTACTCGTCAGCAAGGGGTATCTGAAACTATGAAGGAACTCATGTCCCTTCCGAGATTCGAACTCGCGTCACCCAGTGAGTGTTGCAGTCAGAGACGTTAACACTGAGCAATTGGGGCTCACGATATATATGTATTTGAACATTCTATTTCATGTCGTTTAGTGTAAACCAAAATCATACGCTCAGTGATTGGTTAACGAACTTAGACTATATAGATATACATAGCTGTTTCATAAATTGAAGGTATACCTTGGTTTCCGTGTCTTGCTTTCTGCTGTCACATTTGCTATCTCTGCCCGCGGGCAAATGGAAAGCGTATACCCTGCAGTTTTTGATGGAGACGTATGGATCGTTAGAGAGGACTTCAATGCTGTTGAGCCTTTGAATTGCATTCAAGATCCTTCAGCGATGAGGCTGTTACATGGATCGCTGCTGGGAGGTCTGTCAATGGCAGCACATGCTAGTGTGAGGCGAAACACTGGAGAATACGTACCAGGTAGGGTCATACAAATTGCTTACAAATTGGGAAGGAGCATACATGGTCGCTGTGTAATGGGGTCAAGTATATATACGACCAGAAATGCAAACAAATGGAAGCGGTTGAATGTTAGCGAGCTGTGGAACTCGATACAGCAAGATAAGCTAACAAAGCCGCCAGCACCAAGAAGGTGAAACAGATTTCAGTTAAAAGATTTTGACGGGCGGCGAGGGAAGAGTGTGTTGGTGTAATACAGAATATGTGGTCCAACGAAATATTTTTCTCACATATTTCCACAGTTCAATACACCATTAGCAACAGAATACGATATATATGTATTTCAAAATTTATTGTAAACCAAAATCACACGCTCAGTGATTGGTTAACGAATATAAACTGTAGATATATAAACAGCGGTTTAAATAATGAAAAAGATACCCTGGATACCGTTTCTTGACTTTTGTTGTTACACTACAACGACGTAATATATATGCTAATTACATTACCCAGAGAATATTCCATCTTACCTTCTACATTCCGGAATAACTCAACCCTTACTCCTACGATTCGTTAACTCTTGAATCCTGCCTATTATTCTCTATTGTTCGCCCCCCCCCCCGTAGTTTTTCCAGGGCTACTGAAGAAAGACTATATCTTATTAGGTAGTGTGTTAAAGGTTGTCACCAGGGAAAGCCATGTGCCACTTAATCAGCTTGTTAATATTCTGGTCGACAGGCATTTAAAATCTTGCGAAAAATGGGCTAAATCCATTCTATCTAACTCATACCATCCTCTTCACTCACAACTCCCCCTTGTATCTCATCAGGCAGGACCAGAAGCCTATATAGAAAACTATATGCTCGCACTAGTAAGTACAAAAACTCAACCATACCCTGCTTGACTCGTGTTCTGTGCGATAGAGAAAGCATTAGGCGTGATACCAATAACTTATTAAATGGTCAGTAGAACAACTGGATCTCGTCTTTCCAACTCATATCATTTAAAGGTACAACGTTTTTTGTGTTGTTATGTGCTGTTTTGTTTCTCGCCTCCTTAAAAACTGTATTTAAAACATTCTTGTTCGTTCTTTGACACTCTGTATATCTATACCATTTTGCTATCGCTTACGCCAGTAAATATGTCAGTGTATCTACTCTTCTGACACCTTCAAGCACTCTGTTCAATTTTGGCTTTGCTACTGATATGCTAATATGTTGTTGTCATAGCTAATTGAGATTACCCTTATTCTATGTAGAATTTTATTTATTGTTAATGTACAAACTGGATGCAATACTCTAGAGAAATGTTGAGAACTCCATTCTGTATCACAAGTACTGTTTTAGAGTAGAGCAAATTAATAATATTATTATCAATATCCAGAAAGAATAGGAGTTGAACCGAACAAACAACGAAGAAACCGTTAAATGAAGTGGAGAGCCAGATAGGCATCCAGCAGGTGTGAGGGAAACATGGAAAGAACAGGATGTAATGGGAATGTCGTATTGAAGACTTATATTCCGCTTGAAACCAAATGGAGTAATAACGATATTATTGAC